CCGCAGTCAATTCCATATGTCTCATTTTCTCTCTATTCACTAGAAAACGAAGAAAGATAGGGAGAAATGAAAATTCTTAAATGTTTACATGGTATCATGGGTCAAATTGATTCTCCATATTTGTCGTATTTGCAGTGGGACCAGGGGGACAAAGAGGAAGGCCTCGGAGGTCAGCCGGACGCATGGGAATATCGGGGGAATGAGCAGGATGATGAATTCTTTTCCCTCTCCAGGTGGAGAGGGAAAAACAAATGTTATGGTGAGAAAATTCTTTGTTCTGGGGATGAATATATTTTATTTGCCCACCGTGTCAGAGGAGAATTATGCTCTTATGAAAAAAAGAGGAGGAAATATGGTTTCCGATGGGAGTACCTTCTTTGATACTGACATACTGAATGACACTCATGTATCAATTGTGCGGAAACTGGGTTTTTTATCTAATGTCTCATAGGATATTATGGGAACTTATCGTTGGGATATATCAGATGTAAATGTTGAGTGCAATCTAGAGGCATGGTAAAAACACATTTGTTGTAGGTGAGGGTGATGACAAAACATGACTGATATGTATCATACATTGTTACGCATATACAGAGAATTTTTTTTGTTCCTACAAAACAGATGGAAAATATTCCAATCCAGTGATCTCAACCGATTTCAAAAATTCAGTTGTCTATGGAATTTTTTTCAAGTTATTAAGGGGAGACTTTATTTATATTGTTGACGAGCTTATTACTTCAATTTTCATGTGAAAAAAGAAGAAAACAGTTAGGTTTGGATTTTTTTCATTGGCGGAATCTTCAAAAGTACCCCCATAATTTCTCAATCAATTGACTTAAATCTTGGTTAAGACACAGAATATATGTGTAAATAGCATTAAACGAGGTTTTTGAAAATCTTCATTTTTCGGGTTTTATAATTTTTTTCTCGAAATTGTTAATGTTTTGTTAAATTTTTTTCCCATTTTATTTTTTTAAAATTTTTTCATAACTTTTCTCATTATATTGTGAATAAGTAATTCGAAAAATCTGAAAAGATTCCTACTTCAATTATTTATGCTGCAGTTAAAGATTACTATTTTTTAAAAATTTTTACCCAAACCAATGATGAGAAAAACTTTCAAAAACTCAAAAATTTTATTTTTCAAAAAACCTCATTTAGTTGTTTGAGTACATCTTATGTATGTATAAACCAAAGTTAATTGCATTAAGAAGAAATTTTTGGAGCTTCAATTCCTCTAACGCCTGACCTAAAGCCTGATCAATAGAAAAAATCAAAATGTTTTTTATTGTTTTCAAATTAAAACTGAAGGAGTAAACTCATCAACACGATAGATGAAGGTACCAGCGATTTAAAAATCTCAATGCCGTCTACCCTTAATCGAAAAATCATCTACAAATTTTCATCAACTAAATCGCCTCAAATTCATTAAAAAAATATAATGCTAAAGTCCTCATCTCTAATCGCCACCAGTCCATGATTATCAAATGAGGGATAGGGCCATAAGCTCAAGGTAAACTCGGCGTAACTGTTCAAGTAGAGATGGAGTGGGTGTGGTCAGCCAAAGACTAACTAGAGTGAGTATAATTCTGCTCGGGTAATGCACGAGTGGACTGGGGTCAACGGGAGAGCAGTCCACACCCCTCGTCGAGTAATGTAAACCGAGGGTAACTCGGGCCTGACAAGCTTCAAGACCTTGACCCCAACACTCCAACTCCCGTTCTCCTCCAAACGATCAAGACAATACAACTGCTCTTTTGTGCACGTGTAGGTTGTACGCTCGATTCAGGCTGTCAACTTTATGGACAGCCTGATCGTTTTACTACGTGACGAGTAGAACTCGCTTGTAGCACCCTAGACAAAGTTAATAATTGCTGGGTAAATAGAGGTGAAAAAATTTAACCGAAGAATGGGAGTCGTTTTAGCAAAGCTCTGCTATAATCGCTCAATTCATTTTCAGTTAATAATAATACCCTGTTAAAAATTTTCGTCTGAACTTTCCGTGCCAAATTTCGGAAATTTTTATCATGTTCAAGTTCCACTGAAATCTCAGAAAATCTTGTCATTAAAAAATCACTTATTCCATTTTAAGGAAATGCAGTGAATAAACTCAGTGGTTAGGAATGAGTAACAAAGAATATTGATTCAGATTAATTAGATGATAGGTACAATATGATAATGCACTTTTGATCAGTGTATTTCGGGATTAATTGTTTAATGCAAATAATGTAATTTATGGAGCCAGAATAAAACGTGCCCACCCGGTATTCTATTCATACGTAATAACATGGATTTCCAACACATCAGACGCAACCAAGCGACAGTTCGCATGAGTAAGAAGGCGCGTAATTTAACACTCCGCTTCGCATTTTAATCCATTTATTCCAATACTCCCAAATGCTCACGAAAACCCTGGAATTTTTCAGAGGCTAAACGTTTAGTTAAAGGATCAGCAAGTTGATCATTTGTACCAATGTACTCGACATGAATTTCCTTTGCTTCTTCCATATCAACTGTATAAAAGAATTATGGATTGATGTGCTTAGTTCTCTTCGAAGATCCAGGATTTTTAACAATAGTAATTGCACGTTGATTATCACAAAATAGTGTTGTTGGACTCTCTTGTTCATAATCGATCTCATACAGTAAACTTCTCAACCAAACAATTTGTTTCGAAGCTGCACACAACGCGAGAAATTCGGCCTCGGTAGTGGACGTTGTTGTCACTGGCTGTCGACGACTACTCCAGGCGATTGGTCCTTCGTTCAACAAACATACCCAGCCTGTAGTACTGCGCCCTGTGTCGATATCACCAGCGTAATCAGCGTCACTATATGAAACTATCTCATCCAAATTAGAATTTAAACTGTAAGAAATCCCATAATTAATAATTCCTCTCAAATATTTAAATACACGCTTCACACCACACCAATATTCATACTGCGGTTTCTCCATATATTTATTCAATACCTCAACGATAAATGCTACATCTAGTCTTGTACAGATCATTAAGTACATCAATGAAGCTATTGCTTGCCTATAATGATAATCAGACTTCTCTTTAACATAATCAGACGACTTAGAAAATTTAACACTCGGATCTGCAGGAATAACGACTGGTTTGGAATTTTAGTGATGAAACTTCTTCAAAATTTTCTCAGCATATGTTGTTTGATGAATTTTTAGACGACCTTCCTTTTCGTTTCTATCAATCTGAATCCCTGCAAAACATTCAGCATTGGAAAAAGTGATTTTAAATTCTCTGTGTAAATCGCTAAGCAAATTCTTCATTTCATCCTCATCCTTTCCACACAACAGACCATCATCAACATACAATGCTAAATATATTTTCTCGCCTGATTCACAAGAGCTTCTACTAAAAATACATGAGTCTGACCTTGACTGGACGAATCCATATTGAAAGAGAAAGTTAACGATCCGTCTATTCCACTGACAGTCTATTTCAGCAGACACTCGATCGTCCTCCTCAAAACCGTGCGGGTGCTCCATGTATATCTCCTCCTCTAGCTCGCCGTGAAGAAAAGCAGTCTGTACATCAAACTGACGAATTTGTAGATTCTTCGATGCTGCTACAGCCAACAGAGTTCTCACCGAAGCATGACAGACCACTGGTGCAAAGGTCTCCTCGTAATCGATACCATGTTTCTGTGAACATCCCCTGACCACCAACCTGGCTTTATACTGTCTATCTGCCCATCGGCCTTGAATTTCCGACGAAAAACCCAGCGATTTGATATAACATTTCTTTCAACTGGTCTTGCCACAAGTGTCCAGGTCTTATTCAGTTTCAGTGAATTCAATTCAGACCCAATCGTCTCCAACCACTTCGGAGAATCTTCTGATTGTAGAACCTCTTCGAGTGACAACGGCTCAAGTTCAGCTAGGAAGACCACTGCAACGACAGCTTCCTCATCAGTAACAGACTTTGATCTCGAATTCTTCCTTGTTGGATATGGATCCCTCGGAATTGGCAGTCGGGGATTTTTGTACTCGGGTTTATCAGTCTCCTGTACCGAATTTTGCTCCGTTTGGTTCCTCTGATTCGAACCCAAAACTCCCCTTGTTTCTTCAGAATTAATAAACTGTGTAACCACGTGTGGCTCAGGTGTCGAAGTACTCTTCTCGTTAAAAATAACATCTCTTCTGATTAAGAGTTTGCGTTTGATTGGATCATAGATTCGATAGGCCTCATTCCCATTGCTGTAGCCAACCATAAGACACCTGACTGACTTGGCATCCCCCTTGGTGCGCTCCTCTTTTGGCACATGGACATAACACTCTGATCCAAAAACTCTCAGATTATTTAATGAAGGCTTATCACCGAACCATACCTCATATGGAATATGACCTCCCAGAGTGTTAGTACCAGTGCGATTCTTTATATAAACTGCACAATTTGCAGCCTCAGCCCACAGGTACTTGGGTAGATCTCGTGCATACAGCATTGCTCTCGATGAATCGAGAACTGTCCGGTTCTGCCTTTCGATGAACCCATCTTGTTCAGGTGCACGTGGAGTTGACAGTTGATGCTGAATATCCCTTGACAACAGGAACTCCTTCACCATAGAGTTACAGAAGTCTTTCCCTCCATCAGTCCTCAAACACTTCACCTTGTGACCATCAGTTTTGACATCGACATAAAATTGCTGCCATTTTTAAAGTACATCAGTTTTATTTTTCAAAAAATAAATGAAAGTGTAGCTTGAACAGTCATCCTTTAGCAGAAGAAAATATTTAGCTCCTCCAAATGACTCCGGAGTCATTGGACCACACAAATCTGCGTGAAAAATTTTCCCTGGTTCAGATAGCCTTACTTTATAACGAGTCTTCGGAAACTCCTGTCGATGCTGTTTTCCATAGACACAACCGGCACGAAAGGGATTCTCGTTAGTTAACTCCTTGATCTTCAGATCCTCCACAACTCCTCTCTGATGCATCTGCCTCAGCATCTTGAAGTTGATGTGTTCCAACCTCTCGTGTCATGTCATCAGTGTTTCTGTGCTTGCTAATTGTGCTTCAGCACCAACAATTGATTGCATATTCAATCTGTACAGCTTCTGCTCTTTAAATCCATCCAATACTATCTGACCGTTTCTAAAGAAGCAAACTCTATGACCTCCTTTCTCAAATAGCACACTCACGCCTCTTGATGGGCATCTGCATATTGATACTAAATTTTTCTCAATTTCTGGCACATACTGAACATCTGGCATAATTAATTCTACTGAACAGTCATTAGCAAGACATGATTCAACTTTAATGTCTGCTTTCTCTTCAGAGTATTTCCTGTCAGTGAAAGGTACGAAATTTGTGAACCATTCTCTCTTGAAACACATATGTTCAGTTGCACCAGAATCTGCGAACCTTGAGCTGCATCCTCTAGTACGATTCGATTCACTGTCAGCAGCTAGTACGGTAGCACCAGCCGAATACACTTGACTCTCTGGATTAAATGCGTGATTATTGAAATTCTCATCTTGCACATTGTTCTGGAACTCGCTCGGATAATTATTATTTCCATTATACGCATTTTGGCTTTGTGAGTCCATACCTTGAACCATATAGGAACGACCGTACTTAAAATTGCCTCTCTTTGGCCCATTACTATTTGAAGAGTGATGTTGTCCTCCTCTCGATCAATTACCAGGAGTATGTGAACCATAATTTCCAACCATTTTTGTGGACACTCTCGTCCGTAATGACCAGAAGTATTGCAATAATTACAACTCTCTCTCTCCTTCTACCAAAACCATTGTCTTGAAATTGATTGTTATCGAAACTCTGACCTTGTACTTGATGTGAAAAACCGTGTCCACCTCCGTCTCGATCTCTGCCTCTGCCTCGATTCTGCCTACCCGTAACGTCGAAAGCAGCCTCAGAACGATTCGCTTCACCTCCATCAGGTCTACCCTTCAACACAGCTTCCTCAGTAAACAAGTTCTGAGTGAGTTTACCTGGCGTCTGCTCTGCTTTAGACACAGCATACCAGGCACATCTGACGCTGTTGAAAGCACGTGGTACACTGCCCAGGACTTTTGCAATAATAACTGGCATCTTCTGCTCCAATCCCAAATCACTTAGTCTTTTTGTCAGACACTAAATTTGCGCAATGTACTCTTTAACCTCAGTACCCTCTTTCATTCGAGCATTAATGAATTGATCGAGTAAAACTTGCGATGTCTGATCGCTTTTCTCAGAATGCACTGAAGCGAGCCTTGCCCACATCTTCGCTGCGGTATCACAATTATACCTTAATTGTTCCAACTCGAGCCCATGCATCAGAAAACTCTGGGCTTCACCATCCTTCGGATCCCACACTGTAGTATTATTGTCCGGACGAACCTCCGTACCGAGAATATACTTCTTCAAACCATTCTCGTTCATGTAGATCTCCATCTAACGCTTCCACAGCAAATAATTTTTACCATTTCTCCTGAGCAACGACAGTAGAAATATCGCTACATCCGTCCTCTTGATCAGATGAAAGATCTATTAAATTTGACTCTTCAGTTCTCTCATCGAAAGCTGAATCTTTAGGATCAAATTCCATTTTTATCTCAGATCCACTCATTCACAGACCACGCAGTTCACTGGGCCCATAACCTTTTAAGGAAATGCAGTGAATAAACTCAGTAGTTAGGAATGAGTAACAAAGAATATTTATTAAGATTAATTAGATGATAGGTACAGTATGATGATGCACCTTTGATCAGTGTATTTCGGGATTAATTGTTCAACGCAAATAATGTGATTTAGGGGAGGTGGGGATAAAATGGACACCTTAAGAAAAAAATCACTTTACTCCAAGGAAAGGATGTCGAATGACTTTCTAATGATCCAAAACATAACTACAGGAAGCGACAAGACCAGTGCATGAAATTATTCCTGGAGGTCCTGGGGGCAAAACGGACACCGCCAAAAATGCGTCAATTCATCTTTTATCTGCTTTATTATTTTCTGTTACTGTTTTCTTTATTATTCTATTCAGCCTTATTCCAAAAACAAAAAATAAAGGAATCGTGTGTTCTATATAACCACGCGCCGCGCAACCTAGTAGCACCACCTAGCGCCCTTCTATATGATTCAAATTCATAGCGGGAAGAGACAAACGGATGCATTTATCAGTCCCCCTTTGTTCACCCCCACTGACCCTTCCACTTTTTATAATTTTTATTTAAAACATGGCGGAGAGTAACAAAGGGAACTCTATCGAAGCCGTCTTTTATCAAAAGAATTGGGAAGACGTACCCCATTTTCTCAGCAGAAAATTGATTTATCAATTTAAAATCACATTTGGGTGATCAATTTGAGAGAACTCGTAGAGAAGTGCCAGAGCAAATATTAAAAATGCCTCGAGAAATCAAGAGGACAACCAATCGTCAATCTTGGAATGAATTACAAATGGCTGGAGCTATTCAAGACTGCAACCAAGGAATACCACTCCTAACTGCAGCTAAAAATTACAACATTCCCAGGACTTCATTACGTAGACGTATTGACCTATTCAAGACCTATTCAGAAAGGTTTGTCGTTTTCTCTCATTGTCCGTCTATTAATCTTCGAAATTTATCATTCCAATTTCTAGCATCAAGTGATAGTTCTTACGGAAAAATGTTATAATTTCCAGGCTTAGGGAGATACGAGACCATTTTCACTCCTCTCGAAGAAATCCTTTTAGTTATATTTTTGAAAAAATAAGAAGAGTTACTCCATGGTCTGACCTCAAGAGAATGCAAAATTTTGGCATGGCAATTGGCGGAGGCGAATGGAATTGCTCACAATTTCCGTGACGGTATGGCTGGTCGGGCGTGGTTCAATGGCTTCATGAAAAGAAATTCTGAGCTATCGTTGAGAATACCTGAGGGGGTTTCATCAGCTCGTGCAATGGCATTGAACAAGGTAGTTGTGCAGTCTTTCTACGATCTTCTATTGGAGCAGTATGAGAAATATCATTTTGCTCATGATCGTATTTACAACATGGATGAAACAGGCGTCACCGGTATTCCAAAGACCTTATCCCAGGTTGTGGCACTGAAAGGCAAGAGACAAGTTGGTAAAAAAACTTCAGGTGAGCGAAGTAAAACTGTTTCTGCGATCTTGTGCGTTTCTGCATCTGGCAATGCCCTACCACCCCGATTTATCTTCCCTCGTGCAAGAATGGATCCTAAATTGATGAATGGAGCACTTCCAGGAGCTCGGGGAATGGCGACTGATTCAGGCTGGAGCACAATAGAAGCATTTTTTGAGTGGTTCAAATGGTTTGTTGATACTGTAGAACCAACTCAAGAAAAGCCAGTATTGTTGCTTCTGGACGGTCACTACAGCCACGTGAAGAATTTAGAGGTCATAGAATACGTACGAGCTCATAACACGGTCATTTTGTGCTTTCCTCCTCACTGTACCCATCGACTGCAGCCCCTGGATGTCAGCGTCATGAAACCTGTTTCAATTTATTATGCCGATGAAATAAGCGAGAGAGAAAGGAAGGATCCTGGACGAAATACAGTGCTAGGTGATATTCCTTTTCTGTTTGGACGTGCCGACGTGAAAGCCGCAAGATCTTCTGTTATCGTCAATGGATTTAAAGCGACGGGTATTTACCCCTTCAATCCACAGCGGTTCATCGACCCAGATTTTGCTCCTTCTAAAGTAACGAATCGCTCAGCACCACAATCGGATAGATCTGGAGAGTCATCAATGACTGGGAGTGCCCCTGGAGGAATATCTGAGGAAGAGGCTACGACTAAGTCATCATCTCACAGTGTAGACACTAGTCCTCCTCATTACACTTTAAGTGACTCTGATCCTGACCTGGACGTTCAACAAACTGAAAGAGCAGAGCATCCCCCTGACCCCCCACTAAAAAGAAGCAACAGACAAGCTCGTACACGTATCACCCCCGATATCGACACAGAGGCTGATGGAGAATCTGAAAGCTCCCGGCCAGAACCGAAAATCAGGACCAGCAAGTATCGCAAGCTCCATCTGAGGAAGACAGAAGGATTCAAGGTGAATTCACAAGATATTATGCCGATGCCAGTGGCACATGATGAACCCACTTGAAAACGCCGTGCTCGAGGGAAAACTGCCGTTACAACTAACGATGAATACCTCTCTGAACTTACAGAAGCCAAGAAACGAATCAAAGAGAGAAATATGCCAAAAAATTCACGTAAGCGTGGGAAGTCCACGAAGAAGGCGAAATCGAAGAAACCACAAAATAAATCGTCTCGAAAGAAGGTGTTTAAGTAGGAGAGTGAAGATGAGAAGGAGGACAGTGAGGAGGAAGATGAAGCAATTTGTGTTGTCTGTGGAGGAAAGTACTCGCAATCCAATGACCTTTGGATCCAGCGTAATAACTACAGCACGTGGGCTCACATTGCTTGGGTAGGTGTATCCCAGAAAGATTGTGAGGATGATTATCTTTGGGCATCGTGTATTTCAAAAAAGAGACGCACTACTCGATCGACAGGTTTGAATACGCAAAGATTTCGTGAGACGATGGAAGAAGATCCAGACGATGCTCCTGAAGACGATGAGGAAATGAAAGACATCTGTGACGCCGGTCCCGAAGAAGCTACGGATGATGCGCCATGTTGTTTCTGCAAGCAGATGTATTCTGTATCTCATGATCCATGGATACAATGTGATAAATGCGACCTCTGGGCCCACATGAAGTGTGCTGGGATATTAGTTGAAAACTCTGCAAGAGATTATGTTTGTAGGAAATGCAAACGAGCTAGAAAATGATTCAGGGTATCCTCAATTGTTGAAAATTCAAAACCTTGAAAACTTCATTTTCTTGTTTTTCCGTTGAAAATTTAATTCGTCAACTAAGAACGCTTCAACTGTCCTGCGTTTTAATAATATGTTCCAATAATCCATAGTTAATTCAGGTGAAAAATGATTCAATTTAAAAATGCGGCTCCACTGACGCGTAATTTGTTTCATATCAGGCGTCATCTGTACAAATAACCCCGTCGAATATATTGTGATCCTATGGTATCCCATGATATTTTGATATAAACGTTGGATATTTTGTTGATTAACCAATCCTAATGATAAAAAAACAAAAATAAAAAAATTGGAAAAATGCAAAATTTTTGAGGGTGTCCATTTTGCCCCCACTGTCCATTTTACCCCCAGCTCCCTATGGAGCGAGAATAAAACATGCCCCCCTGGTATTCTATTCATACGTAATAACACGGATTTCCAACACATACGCACCCAACCAAGCGACAGTTCGCATGAGTAAGAAGGCACGTAATTCAACATTCCATACATTTTATGTTCAAATAATTTGGAAATCAATAAAATATTTGATTTTTCTGTTCAATTATATTGTGAAAATTCAGAAAAATTCAGGGAAAAATTGACCATTCATGTCATTTTGTTTCTGAATATCCATGTTCCACTGAAAATTCAATCAAGTTGTGAAATTTCTATTTTCCTCCCACTAAAAACTCATGTATTCCCGTGAATTCTACTTAAAATTTGAAATTTCATAACCATTTTTTCCCTAAATCCGTTTCAATGTCACTCTCGTGAAATGTACTATAATATCTTCCATGACATTTCGAAAAATTTCTAACAGCGTATTGGAGAAATTTCCGTAAAAGTTTGGAGAAGTTTGGAGGGACCTATCATGGGATCTATAATCATAACCATCATTATCAATTGATTGATTGATCAAGTGAAACTTTTTCATTAATTAAATTTGATCCGTTTGGCCAAAAACAATTTTTTTTCTGATTCAAGTAAATCACAACTTGAGCGACAGTAGTGGTCACATGGGTAGCGTGCGACTACAGTCGCTAAAGTTAATCCTTGAGTGGTCGCGCTATGGGGGAATCACAGCAGCTTTTCAATTTTTTTTCTCACATGAAAAACCCGTAACTGAAGAAGTTATGAAAATTTGTATTCCTATTTTCAATTAAACCGAACGCACTGACAATTTTTTTGGTCCATACTCGCACCAATCAATTATCAAAATCATCTGGACACTTGACTCGCAAAAAATCCTTGTGTTTAACCTCTAAATGTCAAAATTTTGCACCTAATGAAATTGAATTATACGATTATCCATCCACTATTCTTATTTAATATCCCCATTGCTTTTTCCTCAAAGGTTCAAAATGACCCGTAAACTACAAATAAACAATTTTTTCCAACTTTTTTTTATAAATTGTAAAATACATGGAGCTGTGAATCTCACATCGTGCGACCAACAACGTTCGGTGAAGAGCTGCGACTACTCAAGTGTTAAGCAGCGATTAGTCTGGTTAGTACTTGGATGGGTGTCCGCTTAGTCCTACCTCCTCATGTGGAACTGCTGCCGCCAGGCGCGAATGTAAAGAACTACTGTGCGCATCTAGTTAATGTGACGGATGAATACAGGCAATATCGATGCATCCATGCAATATCGGCTGGCAGTACGAGTGGGGTTTTCTATGGGTTCCTGTGTAGCACTAGTTCGAATGGAGGGCAGCTGATAAGAGTAAGACCGCCCATGGAGAAACAGCCTGATTTATAAAACCTGATGTAGATGAGTTTTGGATGACTAATTAAATGCTTGTTTGCATCCAATCTTAATGCAAATGTTAGGATCAAACTTCTTTTCTCAATATCGAAGCCGAACAATTTTGTAAGATTCTGATCCAAAAGTCAAATCAGCATATTCTGATCACTTTCGAATTTGTGCCTGATCTAAGATAGGTAGACCTGAGCAAAATTTCCACTCATATAGTTAGTGGATCCTGGACTGTCCGGTGGACATTATGATGACCTGATCCTTTCCCGATCAGGTTACCCTCTACACGGAGACAAATTTTCTAGAAAAATTCTAGTACGAGTACTGGAAAAAATCATAATGCATTGGCTGTGAAAAATTATGGTCCTATTAAGGTAAAATTTCTGGGGATTTCTGTGAAATTTTCGAAAAAATACGGGGAAAAATTCACGTTTTCCCCAATAAAATTTTTAGTTCCTGTACTGGAATTTTTTCCTGGCCGTCACTTTGCGCCTCTTTTCCCGTGCTAGCACTAAAATTTTTCTAAAAAATTTCCCTCCGTATTTTTCAAATGAGGATGCCCACATAATCTCTTGGCATGATTAGGTCTAACAGTTCTTCAGTTATACTTGACGAAATTATTACTCAATGCGCTTCAAGGTCTCCCCAATTTGTTTACCCAGTTCTCAACAAAATGTCTCCTCTCGTTTGGAATTCAGTTCATGTTGACTCAAGGCCTCATTTTTTTTCAGACGTTTCACTCGAAAAAATTCGTAGTGAGACACATATGCTTCGTTAGATCTGGCAAGTGTCCCTAAACCAACACATATCGATTTCACGTGCAAGCACGTTCCTTATTTCAACGCTAATCTATACTTTCGTCACGAACCCCAGGTACCTGGATATGAAGAATTTACACCACGTACAAAATACTGTATTCCAGGAAAAATCGAATCATCACGGATTGTACGTGTAATATTGGCTCGAAATATCAAAATAACTGAGCCATTGAATGCCCTAGCTGTCACGATTTCAGGAATGTGGAGGATTTTCTGCTCTTAAATTCTATCAGTGTCTGGTGCTATTTGGATTTATGAGTATATACGTACGTCAAGGGTAAATAATGATGTTGGTAATTGCATGGCAATTCATTCTGGCTGGCATTTAGCATCATTGGGTAGGGATAACTGAATCAAGTGATTTCAATGCAGTGTGTTCATGAGATTATCAGGCTCAACCGTTGTCACATCGTTTATCAAGGAGTTGAGAACAGTAGAGGCAGATATGGTGCAAAAGTCATTCAAACTGAAATGAAAGTTAGATTGAAGAACCAAGGGACTATTCATATTCATCATTATAGTATCATTAAATTGTAGTCACAGTGAAATTAAAGTAGCTCTACCCTTGGACGGTTATTTTACCATTCAAAGATTAAAAAAAACTACAGTTACCAAAAAACTCGAGATTTAGAATAGTTTTTTTTCTGAATCGCAAAAAAATGATGAAAAATATTGGCACTTGTTTAATCAAGATTTATGGTTTTTTTTTTTTATTATTCACAGTATTCGTCGAGAATCGCCGAGGACTGGGAACAGGAATAGATATGACAACGACTGTTGTGATTACACCGTTCACTCCAGTCGTCTCTCACCTCTCATTCTCGTATAATTTATTACAATAATTTAGACAGAAACAATAACTTTTCGAATTAGTTTTTGTGTAAACACTTAATGAGTCGAGCAATAAAAGGCTAGAGCTACGTTATTAACATTATTTTAATCACTGAAATCACATGATCACATTACTTACAATTTAATATTGTGTAATTGAAAAATAAACACCACAGAATAAATATGCATTATTCAAGAAATCTGGCGGCTTCTGGATAAAAACTGCCGGAAGAAATAAATGAAGATTGAGAAAAACTTAATTTCTCATCTCCTCAGTTTCTTCATAAACTGATTGACTTCGTTCCAGTCTCATTCTCGTAAACTCTCAGGTAAATCAAAAAGCCAATAAAATTTTAATTACAAACGCTCATAATTGAAAAACAGAAAGTTTCAGCAGTGAAGAGATTTACGAGCTGGCAAACTTCAGATAGGAAAACTTGGAAAAATTATGTGGATAGGCTATTTCTCGAGTTCGATTCCTCACTCCAATCTCGTGAATCGGAAGGATTCTGAGAACATCCATCAATATGACGAAAAGTGGATTGCAGCCTCAAGTTCTTCTGATGTGAAAATTCCGATTGCTCTCCATTGGGAATATCAAGGGCATTGATTTCTGGAATCGTTCAATCCGCAGCTGCGATTGTCGATTCACAATGACCTTATGCCCTTAAGGTATATCCCTAGAGAACAGGTTTTTCATAGACAATGTTTATAATATTCCCCAACTATTGAAAGAAATTCTAACTAGGTGTACTATACAGTTTAAGTGATAATAAATAATGAAATGCAGGCTTCTAGCATGGAAGGCATAGGCCAAACGGGGATTATGGGTCCCCCCACAAACTCGATTTTTACATCATATGAGAAAACGGTTCTTACGATGT